AAAATCGTATTATGAGAGAGACTACTGTCAGCCGTTATTATCAAAACATATTTATCAAAACTTTGTTCCAATCATCGTTGTCGATTTATCACATCAAAACGACAATGTAAAGTCATCGACCGTGGATCTACGTATAGAATTTGAAACAGATACAATTATTCCAGAAAAGACTGCAGCATATTGTTTAATATTACACGACCAGATTATAACTTATAACCCATTTAGTGGTGATGTTAGAAAATTGTAAATTTTTTTTTTCTTATATTATATTTGTTGTAACCTTATATATTGTAACCTTATAATTATTTCCTTATTACTAATAAATAAAAAAACTTGTTTTTAAATATCATGGTTGTTTTTATTTCACACAAGAAAAAAATATTTATTAAGACTTAATAAAATAAATTTGGTGGACACAGATCAGATGGTTTTGACTTGCTGTCTGTGTAATCGAACAGGGGTGTTGGGTCTCTGTTGAAATACATGGGTCCGTCGTTCTCATCAATAGCCTATAAAAATTAATGATTATTTATCATATAAATTATATTTATATATATACAATATTACCATTGCTATAGCATCCTGGAGGTTGGTACAACTGTCTTGTGTGGGTAGAGAATACTGCAAAATGGGGTACTCTGGCGAATGCTGCTTGTTTGTTGCCGACGGAGACAAGGGTGAGATTAATGCCAGATTTCCCTAAAAAAATATTTGAAATTTAAATATGGTTTGTAGATAAAATTTAAAACTGTTTATTACCTGTTCATATAAACTGCTGAACGATGGTGGGGAAATAGCTATTGAACGCCCTCTATTGTTTCCCTGTAAAAATTTAGTTTATTAACATAAAAATAAAATAAGTTAAGAAAAAATATTCATACCTCTTTCACTTTTTCCATCCATTTTTGAACGATAGAATCAGTTGCGTATAATTTTACTTGATTTGTGTAAATGTAATCACCCTGACTAATACCATATTGTATTGCCTCGTCAATAACATGTCTTTGGATATAACTATTGTCAATTTTTCTCACTTGGTTTCTCATTATTTCGAGTGTAGAGTTTTGTAGCGGTACGTTTAATTGTAAGAATGTAGCGATTAACTCAATATGATGTAGTACAATTGGTTTAACTATTTCAGATTTTCTTTTAATAATTTCATAAATAGCAGATTCTAAATCTTGCAACTGTAATAGATCGGAGCGATTTAACAGAACACGACATCCGTCTTGAATTTTTGATTCTAAAACGAGTGTGTTCTCCGATTGATACACCATACTAGTTAAAGAAATTGAATCCGTCTCCAAAAATAATTTTCGATTATATTTTTCTGGATGATCGAGTATGAACGATAGAATGTTGCCCATAAGTCTGAATATACGCATTAGAAAATCGACAGGAATATTTACATGACGTGAAGCGGTTATAATATGTATCTTGGTGTTGAATTCGTCGGTAGGGTCTAGTCCAATGTTTAAAAACTTCCGAGCCGTGAAATCAATAGTCAAGTTACTACAGTCGATGAGATTAGCTGGTGGAGTATATTTAAAAGGTTTCTTCTTCCAAATATTAGCCATATTTTCGACTGGTCCGGCCATATTTATTTTATAGAACGAAAAATAATTTTATTTTAAAAACTTCTCAATTCAACGCTGAAAACGATACGAACGCACGAACACTCGGGCGGGTGAAGAGCGACTGATTTCATTTTACGGTATTAAACGTGTACATTGAATATTATTTGGTGGGGGGAGCATCTGCGTGTCACTGCAGGGATATTGCATGCAGCTGCATGTCCGTTACAATTGTTTAGATGTTCGGTAATATATATAACATGTACAAATATTTTAAATAAAAACTGAGCACAATAATAACGGGTGCGTGATAACATATATATACACGTTCGTGATAAGAAATAATTTTCATTATCAAATGTTAACGGGTGCTTGATAACACGTTCGTGATAAGAAATAATTTTCATGATAACATCTTATAAATAATATGTACATTTATACAAGTTAAATAGGGCTAGTTATTACCAATTAAGTATATGTGGCGGGGTGGCGCAGTGGCATGGTGGTCGCTCACCAATCCACAGGCTCGGGTTCGAAACCCGGTCGGACGAAAAAATTTTTTAACTTATTTTCCCCGGACGGCGGCCATAGAGTGCCGTCGGCGGCGGCGGGTGGTGGGGGTAGTCGACCGGTGGTGGGCTCTGCCGTCGGCTGGTGGGGGTAGTCGACCGGCGGTGGGTTCTGCCGTCGGCGGCGGGCTCTGCTGCCGTGTGTCAGGGTTCTGCTCGAGAGCATAGGGATCTGCCAGCAGGTTCTGGTTCTAGAACTGTCTTTTTTTACTCTACTATCGGATATGCTCGACCACGTATTTTGATCATATTCTAATAATTTTTGTAGTGTCATCCGTCTGTTTTGAGGAACACATAAATGTTTGATCAAACTTATCGGCCCAATAACATCTGTTGTATAATTACACAGTGTACAATGATTAGTATATAATTCTTGAAATCCATATAATGTATCAAATGCATTTCTATGGTGGTTCATGAGTGATTCTAAAAATTGTACACAATCTTGCTGATGTATGTTAGTGTATACTTGAAAATCATTTGTCAAATATGATCTGATAGATGTAGTGTTTAGTTCTATATTTTCATTGCTATATTGTTGTAGCGTGTGCTTTAAAATTGGTCCTAGTTAATCATTACGGATTTTGGTTGCAAGCAACTCACAATGGAAAAGAATTTGTACAACTGAATTAGCATAACATGATACATTGTCGTTATTTGAAAACCCCCTTGTAACTAGGATCGGTGATTTTTCCTCTTTAATAGGTTGTATTATTTTTGGATTAACTTTTTTAGATTTTGATACCTTAATATTATCCTGTATATTATTCAACGCCATGAGTTTGTCGTCGTCTATCTGTAGAAACTCAATATTGTTATACTCATTAATGTTTTTGTCATATGTTGAGATAGGTTTTAGTTTAATCGACGTACTTTGATATTTTTTTGATTCTATTATACTATTTTTAGCAAGTCTGTTGACATTTTCAGTATTTTCAAATTCGATATTGTTCTCAATTCCTATGCAAGTGTCTACGTCAGTTAATATTATTGGTCTGTGATCACTTATTAAGGATTCATATACTATAGCCGATAAATTTACATTTGTAATTACCTACATTATCAATAGTTGTTCCATAATCTGTAGTTATGTCTGTCAATAATATCTTATAATTGTATTTTTTTATAACTTGACTAAGCATTATTGATGGTTAATCAAATCTGATATTGAAATCGCCGATGAAAACATTATTTACATTAGTCAATACTTTATATTTTCTTATACAATGATATTATACCATTGAATTCAAGTTTAATACAATCCATTATACATTGACCCGCTTGTAACCTACTGTACAGCAGAGCAACATCCAATTACCTGCCTTTTTATACAATGACATTTTTAAAATATTTAGATTAATTTTATACTATTTCCTACCATGAACCTAATCACCCGCGGTTCTATGATAAGTCGGTACTGACTCATAAGTTAATGATACATGTTAATAATTTATGATATTTATATAGATAATACCTACCTATTTTTTTTTTATTCGTTGCTACGGTGATAAACCAATTGTTAGGAATTAAAATCCCATTTTAAGCGGTTTTTCAGTACTTTTTCCCGTGGCATTAAATAACTATTGAGAAAATCGAAAAATGACCTCTCTAAAGTACCATCTTGGTCCAATTTGCTAAAAGATAAGGTACTATATATTGAAATCAAAGCACTCCTTCTGGTAGAAATTTTGTATACAGGATATAAAAAAAAAAAAAAAAATAAACACCATTGTAAAACCACTAGCTTCCTTGCTCCGCTCAGAATCTAAAATTGAAAACTGAAAATGTCCGTAAACAGCTCAAAAAGAGTCGAAATATTTTCAAAATTGTACAGTGTATAGGAAATGCTAATCTGAACATTCAGTAAAATTATCATGTATCTATAGTTATTCGTTTTTGAATTACAACAAAATAAGGAAATCGCTACATGAGAAATCAAGTGAATATCTAATGTTGTAAAAATTTGAATTTCAAACGCTCATAAAAATTTAATTTGACTTTCCGGTAGAGATTTTTTTATTGATAAAGGTAGACAAACTTATGAGTAATCTTGTATTAGATTTTCAAATCTTAGATTTAAAAAGAAAAATTTTTACGAATTCTTAACTCAAAATAATTTGCTAATTTTCGTGATTTTTCCATATTTTGTCAATTTTTGAACTTTAAATGCTTATAAAAAAAAACTGTGACTAACGATTTTTAATATTTTTCATCTGCCTTTGAAACAATATACTTGGAGTCTTCTATTAAATTTTCAAGTTTTTTCAACCAACAAATAAAATTTTATTGATATTTCTAGAAAAAAAAACTAAAAAAAAATGAAAAATAAAAATCTATTTTATCAACATATTATATTTTCTACTTTAAGGTTTTATATGAAGTCTTTATTACCCGAAATTATTGATCCACAATTCCCTAAAAGAATGCTGAAATCCGATATTCGAGAACCAGATCACATAAAAAAAAATGATTACAAAAAAAAATTAATAAAATATTTTCTGAGTATTATAGAACTTTGCATTATTTACTATAAGCTTTTTATTTTAATGAATGAATGAATTAATTAATTTAAAAATGGTAATAAATATAGATAGTTGATCATACCTACCGGATACTGAATGTAAATGCCCAGTTCCCTGGATCCACACACGATTCTCATATTTGGAAAATGTCGTTAGTTAGAAACCATTTAAGTAACACATACAGGCGTGATCATGAATGGCTTTTAGGTGATAGTGGTTATCCATTAGAGCCTTGGTTACTAACACCTTTCAATAATCCAGGAGATGGAAGCCCAGAAAGCAGGTTTAATGTTAAGTTCATTTCAGCTAGATAAGTTGTGGAACGAGCTATTGGCATGTTGAAAGGTCGCTGGAGATGCCTTTGCAAACAAAGGATGTTGCATTATAAGCCAACAATTGCAAGTAAAATTATAAATGCCTGCGCAGTTCTCCACAATATTTGTATTGACAATTTTGATGCCGTTGGTGAAGATGAAGAATATGATGAACCTTATAATGCCAATGACTTAGTACATTTTCCAGCAGGAAATGCTCTTCACACAGAGGGTAATAATAATCGATCAGAAATTATGGATTATATAAATCGTGTTCAATAAATAATGTTATCAAAAAAAACTTCTTTCCACTGCGTTTTCAATGCACTTTGCTTCATTTTGGATACACAAGTATTATCAAAGTTATGTCAGATAAATGGTCAATGAATGAAAGTATATTTCGATAAATATTAAACTTGAACAATTAAAATAAAATAACAAAATAAAATATCTTATTATCCAAATCGTATTAAATTTAAAGACATAAAAAATAAATTTAAACTTGAACAAACTAAAATAAAAAAAAAATAAAATAAACATAAACAAACAAACTTGTTAATTTAAAAAAATTAATAAGAAATTAAAATATGAAACTTGAACAAAATACAATAAACATCTTATTATACAAATCGTAATAAATTTAAAGAAATAAAAATTAAATTTAAACTTGAACAAACTAAAATAAAAACAAAATTAAATAAACATAAACAAACAAACTTGTTAATTTAAAAAAATTAATAATAAATTAAAATATGAAACTTGAACAAAATACAATAAACATCTTATTATACAAATCGTAATAAATTTAAAGAAATAAAAATTAAATTTAAACTTGAACAAACTAAAATAAAAAATAAAAATAAAAATAAACAAACAAACTTGTTAATTTAAAAAAATTAATAGGAAATTAAAATATAAAACTTTAACAGAGGTTCATAAACAAATATACATTTATTTATCATTTTGTTTAGACGAAATAAAATTTAATAATAAATTAGACACATTATTAATGGCATCTATTTTCTGTTGCTCTAGTGAATTCTTCTGTAAAAGAATAGCCAATTTCTTTTCTTCAATGCAACTTTTTTCTCTTCAATTGTATTTCTGTGTTGCATCGTTGATACAATTTCCCGCTGGATTTCATTATTTTCTACTTGAAATTGTACTAAATATTCTTTATCCATTGGATAAGAATCTATAGACTTCTTTTTTTTCTAGAATAAAAAAAAGTATCATTTAGCTTGGGAAAATAAGATTAAACAATCTGACGGTAAAAAGGTAAAAATACATAAAACCAACTCTTTTAGGTGTTTTTAGTTCTCCTGCATCTTTTTGATTATGACCTTTGTCAACCATGTCTTGGTTGTTAATTGTTTGTTTTGTGTTGGTTTGGTCTTCAACACTGAAGATGAAACTTTCATTGTACACTTGTCCCTTTGAGAAAAATTAATTAATTTTTAATAATTATATTGTAACATCATTAACATATTGAAATAAATATATATTCCAAATAGTTACTTACTACAGTTGATTCAGGTATATCTGAAATTCCAATTGTATATTCTTCACACGAAACATTACTCTATTGAAACAAAATTAAAATAATTTTTATATCATTAAGCATTTAATATTATACCTTCTACTATTGTAGAATATGTACAGGAATGGGCAAGTAACTTAAAATTTAGTATCACAAAACTAAATACTTCACTTTGGACTATCGCGATACTAGATACTTGATAAATTTGAATAAGTTGAAAGTAAATATTTTTATTAAACGTTTAAGAAATATGTTGGTGAAACAAAAATAATCAAAATACTGGTGATTATGATTTATTTATAAATAAATAAGTTTATGTAGTCGTGAAATGACAAGACATTTATTTAACAATTTCATTATGAGACCATTATGTGTATTATATATTTTGTTATTTGACAGTACTTATAATTTATTGTCCGTCATTTACAATTGCTTCCGAGATATTGGGACGATGTTGTCTCATTCTGTCGATTTTATCCAAAGCGTCAACGTTACAGAATGTCTTGCCCGTTATTTTTGAAGCGTCCAATTCTTCGATACGTAGTCCATCGAGGCTACGAACTCTATTAATGATGACGTACGCTTGACCTTGTACGAATAGTTTCTGTCCCAAGTAAACGACAGCATAATCGACTGTGGTGCCCTGCATTTTATGGGCTGTTGAAGCCCATGATAATATTAAAGGCAGCATACGGCGCTCGGCAGTTCCGTAACTGAATTTTGCTGGAAATTGTATTGATTTTGGCTTGATCAGGTGGATCCCATCCACGCCAAAATCCACCATTACGTCCGGTATGTCCTGCTTGTAAATCTGATCTCTGCGGAAGCCACCAGCCCATTTCAGTTCCGTTACAATACCTATTGCTCCATTGATCAAGCCTTTTTGTACATCGATAATAGATCGCAGCATCACTTTTGCTCCCACGAATATTACCAGCTCTCTCGGCAATCCTCCTGTCTTGTTGATATCATCCGATATGACGGTGTCGATTGAATTATTTAGCGGCCTTGTGGCATCGACCAAAGAATCTTGAGCTAGAATGGTAAACATTTTGACATTTTTTTCTCAAGTTTTATTATTGTCTTTCTTTGCCTAACTGGAACTTCATCGTTGGCGTCCTGGTCAACGTTACCTTCACCCTCTTCTTCACCTCGTGGCTTTCTGTAGTGCGGTTGGAATCTCATGGCAAATTCCATCAGACACATTGCGGGAAAGTTGTAGTCAGCATGCTTACGTGGCCGGTTCTCATATCTTTGAAATATGTTTGCAAAAAAGTCGCCCGTTGATCGACCAGCTGTATCGAATTTCAGCATTCTGTACCGTTGTTCAGGCTTGCGAGTATTTAGAAAAATGCACTGCCTAGAACTTTCCGTCAAGCTCAAGTGACACAGTCTGAAGGTGCGTTCACACGCTGAAACCTGCCGTTCGTTCATTATGCGCATGCATATTTTGAATAATTTCCGAGAGATGTCAGATTCTTCCCGTCGAATTTCTCTGATGGCCTGAGCAACGCTAACATTCAGTTCGGTCGGCTCTGCTTTCGAAATGTATTTTGCCACGTAGTAGGCGATCGATTCATTTGAGCCACAGGGTTGTATGTCCATGTTGCCTCTCCACGTTTTCAATAGCTCTTGGCTGTAATTGTTTACCCATTGATCTTCCTTGCGACGTTTCAAAAGACATATTCTCCCGTCGTTTCGTATAAATTCATCCGACGAGTGAGAAACAATGTGGCTTTCGGTGCACGTCTGTCTTGGAAAGTTGAATCGACATCTCGTTGTGGTATGATTCCTTTGACAGGTGGCACTATAGCGATGAGTCTGGCATTTTTTCACGAGTTCATAGATCTCATCGTCCTGTGTTGGCATCTCGCACGTTGCAACACGGTCAAGAGTTGCGATGCCTTCTGGAGTGTCAAAAGATGGATGATTCTCGATCCAAATGATCATGTGAACATGAGGGCTTCCACGATTTTGGAACTCTATACGCCACCAGAAGTCCTTTACCTTGCCACCAAAAATTTGATCGTTGTTGCGTATATATTTCATTAGCGCATTGATTCTGATCATGAAGTGAAGACTCACCGTGACAGGATATTTTGCGATCAGCTGCTGTACCTCATGACTGGTCAACGAGTGCGGGTCTGCATTTGCTCTGCCGTCAGTATTGAGAAGTGCTGTCCGCATGTCGATCCAATATAGATCGTTTCAACTGCAGGTGATGAAATACGTTGGTGGACCAAGGCTGCGGATTTTTGCCAGACATTCGTTTAGAGCTGTACGCCAATAGGCCGACGATCCTCTCAATGCTTTTGTAATGAGATGCAGATCTTCTATCTTTCCATCCGGACCTACAAGTTTCTTCAGGCAAGCCTGTATCGTCGCTTTTATTCTTTTGTATTCAAACATTGACAATGCATAAAATAGATAATCATTACGCTGAAAGCGTAGGTCACTGCCCAAAATTCTTTGCTGGTAATAATCAAGTGGAGTGATTTTGATCTCTCGTTGCTCGCCCCATCCGTTGATCCCGTGTGGAAAGAGAAAATACCAGGAGAGCTCTTCTGCTCTATGTTCGTGTTCTGTGTTTACGATGTTGTCTCGAGTTTTTCGCCTGATTTCATGTATGTTATCTGAAACCTCGAGCTCATTATCAACAATAGGCTGCACGCAGTCAATTGGAGCCATGACAGATGTTTGCACTTCAATATCCACTGTCTGCGGCTATTGCTCGACATTCAACGGAGTGGGTTCTTTCAAAGACAGCAGTTCGACGATGTGCAGATCCTGTATCGGGTTGTGATTAAACTGCACATATATGTGGTCCAAAGTGTATTGTACGCGCCGAGACCCTGTTGCTCGTTTGCATATCCGAGTCAACTCATTTATTGTGTCGCATTCAACGATACACGCTTTGTCATTTGAATTCTTGGCTGGAGCTCCTTTTATGCCACATGATTGAGAGTCTATAAAGTAGTATTTCTCTCCGTGATATATTACTCCGTACGATTTGCCTTCCGCAATAAGAATGCCAGCAGAGTGATCGTTAAATAGATTCTGCATTGAATCGTTCAGGGTGTTGCCAATGCCATCTTTTCGATTGACACTATCCATGAGACATCCAAAAAGCGCTGGATTTTCATTGTACTCGATTGAGAAGTTTTTACTGTACATACTGAAATCTTGATTTATGACGTCAAAATTGCGAACCATCAAGTGTGCACTTTCTGGTATGGACAGCGCATTTTCTTGTTCAGCGGTTAACGAATAAATTTCGCCATATATATCGTCACCCTCGATCAGGTTTTGATCCAATATGCTTTGATTCCATTGATTTTGTGCATGAATCGATGTCCTGACAACGTTTGCGAGTGCCATTGCACAGCATTGAACACCAGCATATGCAGAAGACCTTAAAAACCATTTACTATTTATAATTTAACAAGAAACAAGCTTTGATAATTTCTTCTTTGTCCTGTTTAATTTTTTGGTCTTTTGGTTTTCCATGTATGTGTATTGTCTAATACGCATACAGATGTAGGAAGTGAATATTTCTACCATCATATCAGTCTTATGATGTCCACATGGAAATTTCAAATTTGTTGAGGCCAAAAGTAATTCATTGTATGTATTTTAAAATACATCAGGAGAACTGCAATGTTTCTGAAAACTAGTCTCTAGCACTTGTAAAATATTATACATATTTCCATTCGGATGTGTAAGAAACCCTCTAGTTTTCATTTCAACAAGGTCAGATTTATTAGTGTTTATTTCTGAATTATTACTTTTTAATCCACTGATACATAATGTGCACTTATTTTTTTTACTCAATCGTTTGGCCAGGTATCTGTAAATTATAATAAAGTTAATATTCTAATTTATAGAAATATTTAAAAGGACATAGGTACATTTTATATTTTTTATCATATTTATAATATTGTATTTTCTATATTTGCATAGGTGGGTAAGCATTGTTAAAAATGTATTTAAAAAGTAATGATTTTTGTAAGTCTTATCTTACCCTCCTAAATAATAAACAACACATTCAAAAACAGTGCTCTTTGTATAATCATGTTCAAGAAAAATATCTTCAGGATCTTCATCACCTTCTTCTATTAAAATATCAATTTTTCAACTTTTTCTTTTCTTACTGATGTATCATTCATCAATTCTTTTAAATCAGTAATTTCTAATATTGATTTGTTTTCTAATCGTTGTATAAATACAATGTATATTATAATTTATTTACTGAAGACAATTTTATAACAATTATGTAAACATTAATAAATTCATAAGAAATATTATACCTTCATCTACTTTACAATTTTCACTTTTAGGAGGTTTTAACAATGAATATATATTTAACATCCCGTATAACTGTAAAAAGGTGGGCGTCGAAGGATGATCATTAGGCCCTGCAATTTGTCTTATAACACCAAAGAATTTCTAGTATTGAGACCAAAAGTAAATATAATTATTAACTATATTATTATTAATCAAATTAAAAATATGGGTGCAATTTGATACCTCTAAATTATCCTGATTCATTTTAGATGTCAGAACGTATGAAAAATTGCATTCATCTAACAAGTATAATGTAATATCAATATAAGATTGAATTGTTACTCTCAATCCTTCTGCAGTTTGTTGGGTAAGAAATTCATCAGCTGTAATATTACCATCATCATAATTTGATTCCCAAGAATCAAGCCATTTTTTTCCTTCATTTAATACCTATATAACAAAAAATTGGTTGGTATCATACCCATAAATAAAAATTATTCTATAAGTACAACAGTAAAAACCTCTAAATCATGGGAATTTCGTTTGATTCCTTAATTTGGAAATTTTCGATTCATAGCATCAAAAAGACTATTTAACATTAATGTGAATTGTTCTGTTTCAACTGAATGTTTAAAATTTTCAGGCTCTCTATCTCTATAAAAACGTAATCCAACTGCTACTGAGTTACTGAAAAGCTGTATAAATAATTGAGTTCTAATAAATGTTGGCATTTTTCTTGTTTTATTATAATAATAGTATATAATATAATAACCACTTAACATTTTAGAAGCAAAAAATATATATCGGTATATTTATTAAATTTAAAATTTAAATTAGGAAGTAGGAAGTTATTATAATTTACCTGAATAGCATACTTCACTTTTATTTTAGTGATATTAGATAAAATCACATGGTTTTTTGTTATTTTAGGACAGACTTTTCCCAAATTGTTTTCCTCAATTTTAAATAGTTTATAAAAGTACTCCCATTTTATAAAAGATTTTGAATGGTGAATCTAAAACAGTAGTACAATAATTAAAACAAATATAACATACATTTTGACTTTAGAATATGACTTACTTTTAACTGCTTTTTATCATGTAAACGATTTCTTATGGTTTTTATAAGATGCGGTGCATCACTAAACACAAACACTTTCCTTTTTTCATCATATGGATTTAAAAAATAATTGTTGAGGGATTTCTTTTTACCACTGATTCCTAAATTGTTCCACATAGTTCTGTTTGTTGTAGCCCCATCTGTTGTTAAGCCTATAACTTCAGCACCAGAATCTTCCAAAAACATTATAGCTTTAATAACTAATTTTGTTAATTCAATACCTAAAATGAATCAGGTAATAAAACATTATAATATTTATAATTTTGTCGAAATCTTAATTTAAATTGGAAAGGACCTTTAACTGGGCCTTTTGAGGCAAAAACTGCCACTGGTTGAGTGAAATTTTCTGTCAGACTTTGTCACATAATAACTAAACCATGATCTGCCTTTTCTTTTCCTTTATTGGGAAGCTCTCTTCCAAAGTCTCCCAATCCAGTATAAGTTAGGGATCGAGAATTGACAGATATACTCGTTCTCAAAAAAATCTCATCCAAAAGCTAAATCTCTTTTTTATTATATTGATTTTTATTTAACATTTTTTTTTTGAGAAGCTTAAAAAAATTCATGTCAAACCCGCATTCATTCTTTATAGCTAAAAGATATTTTCTTATGGTATTTACACAAGGTAATGGAAGTATATTTTGTGTTCTTAAAAATCTGTACCTATTTGGACTTCTAAAAATGTCAAAAAGTTGATAATTTCAGTACATAATATGCATATAATATTATTATACATGAATTTATTTGTTTATTATATATATATATATTAATTAGCATTAAAAAAATAACTTTATATTAAAAAGTAAACAAAGTAGCAACCAATTATCGCTATATCTATGTTGCTTAGAACATTTTACTTTAGAAGCATTAAATATTTCTTGAATTAGATTAGCTTGACATTCAGGAATATTTGATTTCAAAATGATATTGTCAAGTGAAGAAGAACTTATCTTGATCATTTCCATTTTACATTCACTCATTTTTTTTTTCAATTCATCAAACCGACTTTTGGTACGACAATATTTTATTTTCAGGATTCTTTTGGACCGTTGAAGCCTATTCAGAACTTTCTTTTTTTTTGGTGATAAGTGGTGAAAAAATGAAAAATATCACAGCAATATGTAAGAATCAAAAACATATTGAACTATGCAAAAGATATCAAATAATAATAACAGATTTATATAACGAAATAAATAACCAAAAGGAACGCATGTATTTATCATTAGGAAGCGAACTAGTTGAAGACAACAACTACAAACGAAAAAAAGGGGACTAATAAATATGATAGGGAACGCTATGTACTTACACGTTATTTGGCGTTTGTGATGACAAATGTACTGAAAAAACACAAGAAGCAATAAAATCGACAGAAGAATCTGGAAACAAAATACTACACATAATGAAGGAACAAACAACAGTAATAAAAGCTACAGTAAAGAAAATAGGAAATACAGTAAATCAAACTGACACAATATATAAAACTATTACAAATTTACAAGTAAGGAACAAAAAATCTACGACAAAATAGGACAATTACAAAATGCAACCGATGATATATACGACTTATTATTGGCAGAGGAAGTGCATAATTTGTATACTATAATGGTAGGGTTGCCAACTTTGGAATTAAAAAATACCGGCCCAAGTGTACAAAAAAAAAAAAAAAAAGGTCATCATTTTTTAATATTAATATAATAAAATGACGAATAATATAATTAATTACATACGTTAAAATAAAAAAATTAATAATATTAGTATTACATTATGTTAAACTTTAATATTATAAACTTATAAATTATTATAATAACTATTATAAATAAACTATTGTAAACTTTTAAATTTATATTTAGCGGCATTTTTCACGGCGTTTAATAAATTCTTATTATTATTCTTTCTTATTATTCTACCCAGGTGGACTTTATTAGCTATCGTTGAATCTGAGAAATGTTTCGACTCTAATTTTACTCCACAATCGCTGGAAAGATAGCTATGATGGTGTTTAACTACATGAAAACACTTACTCAGTTCAACGGCTGCTATTTTGTCTTCATCTTTATCATTCTTTGTAGGAAAAAACTTTTTTATAGTGGACGATTTATTTATAGAATTGACGGATTCTTCATGTTTTTTTGATTCTTGATGTGTTTTTACAGCTTTAACGCCATCATACTTAACACTAAAAACTGTCTGACATAATATACATCGTGCTTTATTAGGGTTATTGTGTTTAGCGATCCAATCAGAAAATATTTGATCTTTTAACCATTCATCGTTAAAAACACAATTACGAATTCTTTTTTTCGTTTCATTTTCGTTCATTTTAAAAATGCGTATAATTTTTCAATCAAGTATATACAATGTAAAATTAATAGGTACTACCGAACAGTCCGAACAGAATAACGAAACTAAACTCTATTATGAATCGTCTATCACATATTCACCAACGAGAACGGCATAATAGGAACAACTAACAAGGTACATACTAATCATAGTACTCATAAAAATGTCAAAAAGGACGATAGATATCTGAAGTCATTAAGATAGGTATACGATTTATTGACAGTAACATGTGATAATCAATTTCATAAAAATGATAAAATATTAATATATAATATCAAAACTCTCGATCAGGTGGAATTACTGGGTTTTTATAATTTTACAATATTATTACTTTGAAAATACCGGCTTTTTATAGGTCAATACCGGCAACCGGCTTTTTAAGTCTAAATATGTGAAATACCGGCCGGGCCGGGAAAATACCGGCCGGTTGGCAACCCTATATAATGGTTAACCAATATGGTGACGAAACGGGATTACTAAGTCAAATAATAGTCGCAGCTAGAGAAGGTATAATGCACCCTAGTCTTATGACACCACAAGAAGTAGTAGCAACATTAAAATCAATAGAATAAGTAATCAAAAAACCATACAGTATCCCAATGGGGGAAAACCCTACCGAATTAAGCGAACTACAA